AATCCTACACTTATTAATAGAAAATTTTTACAATTAAATATTATAGAAATATAAATTTAAATTTCTTTTTTTTTTTTTTTTTCCTTTTTTTTTTTTTCTTTTTTTTTTTTTTTTTTTTTTTTTTTTTTAAGGAACTGTTATTGTTATTATCGACACAAGCTGCAAGGATAGAATCGTGCAAGCTTTCATTTATCTCTCAATTTTTATATAGATTTTTTTCCCCCCTTTTCCCTTTTTTTTTTTTTCTTTAGATATATAATTTTTGCGCGGAAACGAGATTGAATATACTGCCAGAAGCCAATACTCATCGCTCAAAATTCGATTTCCATAAGAAAATCATGGGAAATCGTTACCTCGTATATTATATTTGTCCAATTTGCTATATGCCATTTGGAGAGCTACTTTTGATTTTCTTAGGATTTTGATCCTGAAATAGCAAAATGAAAATTAGAAAGTATATCGAACAATCATAGAATTTTATTCCATACCTTCTCAGGAAGTCCGTCATGTTTTCGTTTCTTTAAATCTTCTCGTTTCCCCTGGCCATCCTCGGGTACTTCAGGAGGTACACGTTTTCGTTTCTTTGAGTCTTCTCGTCTCTTCTGGCCGTCTTCGAATACCTCAGGAGGTAATTCCGAACTAGATATTACAGAGTTGTGGCTGTAGATGGTAAACAGTTACATAACGAACACGAAAATTTGATTCATAATACCTTTTTACGTGTTTGATATGAATGCCCATAGATTTTTCGTCGTATTTGTCCCAAACTTTTACCAATTTTATGAATTCTTGGGTCGGCCATGAAATATTTAATTGTCTAGGTGCTTTTGTACTAGCTAAAATTATAAATTAATGATAAAATCATGAAATTTAATTTAGTAATTTAAAAGCGAACCAAAGAAACTGCGAATTAACTTACGATCTCTACGACTAATATCCAAGCCAACGTAGAAAGTAGTAGTATATATAACACGAGCAGTCGCTGCATCTGTGCTATTTTGTGATGATTCTATGTTGTTTTTATCGGTGATTGACGTTGAATCAAAAATTCCATGCATCACATCAGTCGCCATTTGATCATTTGTACAATGATGAATTTTATCAAACCCTTTCACAAAAGGATGTGCTAATTCAAGGTTCTCGACACTTTCCAGCTTTGATATTAAGTGGCGAATTCTTGACTCTACCATACCCGACCTAGTAATCACGATATAATCTTTAATACCAATATTATTATTTACCAAAAAAAATACCAACCATTTCAATTGTCTTTCGGAAGAATCAGATGAGACTATGATCTGCAGGTAGTATCGGTATCTTATAAAAAAGTCATGTTTTTCGAAAAGGTCCGCCCATTTTCCTGAACCGACCATTACATGATCCGCAATCTCAGCAGCTTAATTATAAGAGACAAATATAAGTATATGTAAATATGTAAATATAGGAATGAAAAAAGCAAAATGAAATTACCTCGCTCAAATTCTCTCTCTATTATTTTTTTAGTAGATTGCGTGACATTATGTGTAGCACACATTGAAGGATAAGCGGGAGTAATTATTGGCATCAAGTGAAACCGATCACCATGATATATCTGGAAGATATTAATGAGGTTAAAAGTATAATGCAATCGAAAATCTCAATTACAAATCATCCGCCAATGTTCTTAGACAGCAACTCAATATTATTACATGAATGAAATTAAAAATATCAGGAACAAATCGCCGGTGGCTTAATAGTTCACATATAATATATATAAAACTATACCTTTGGATTCCATACTCTGACTTGAAGCGGTCCGTCCTCAATTGGCTTTAATAACACTGGTTGAGGCCATCTCCTATTATTATTTATTTGTTACCATCAAGATATATTAATAAACGCAAAGAAACGAATCCACTTTATACTAACCATTGATGCATAATTCGGAAAAATCGTGAAACGATCGCACCAGCTATGGCATTTGGGTATAGTTGACAGATTCGAGCAACTAACATTGCCCATGCAACTCCTCCAAAAAATCCCATTACATTAGAATATATGGCACGTCCTGAAATTAAATGATTTTAATGAACATATGGTATACTAGATAAATAAGGAGATGACTCAGGAAAACTTACTTTTTGCCCAAAGCTTTATACACCTTAAAGATGTGCGGAAGGCTGGTATGCTTGGAACAAGACGTAATATTTCATCCGTTACTCGCGACCCTAGCGAATATTAAATGATAAATTCTAGTAAATTATTAACTTAATCATGACATTAGGGACTTTAATCACCATTTAAGCTTCTGATACATGTCTCGTCTAAATTTTTTAGAAGTGTGTTTTCCTTAAGTTCAAGCTCGTCGGGAACTTTAGGAAGCTCTAATCTTGCGAAGAGAAGATCAATCTATTTATTAAGAAGAATGACATTAAAACATTTAACAGTGTACAGTTCTATAAAAATCCATAAATAATAAAGATAGTAGGTTAATTAATTAACTGGGATATCTTGAAATTTTAATTTTATAACAGGAACGTAGGCGTCAGGTACACACTATATAAAATTAATATTATTAGTATCATTTACAAGACCTATCTATGTGCATATATATTTAAGGCACTTACAGTTAGTTCGTTTACTTCAGAAAGGTTTCTAAGAACTCTGTGCATTTCATCAAAGAAATCTTCCCGAGTTACATGTCTAGGAACAACGCAAAGTGTATCGATATCAGCACCTGAAAGTATTCCAATTTCTGTTAGTTAGATATTTTAATTAAGAAAATAAACAAATAAATCGATATTAAATTTGTACCAGCTCCATGAACTCCTAGCCTGTATGAGCCAAAAGTGAAGATTTTCCCCCCGGCCTCTTTGGCATCAGCTTCTGGAAGTTTTTTTTTTTCTCGACTAATATTGTAAACGAACTCTTTTACAAGTTTATCGAGTTTGCCTAAAACGACTTCACTACACAATAGTATTCGTAGTATAAGTAACCCTAAATAAGAAATTTAATACTAATCTATTGCAAATTTTATTAGAAAAACACATACCGTCGCTTGCTCTCTTCTTCACTTTCGAACGTTCCCTGTGCGGTGAGTTCTTGAACCAGTAAATCTGTGACCTCAATTTCTCTGGGGGTGGGATAGGTTACGGCAATCGGCGGCGTAACGCCAAGGTGTTTTGTTTGTCTGTTAAAACATCAAAGTTAACTTTATATGCCATATGCACACTTCTATCTTATCAACTCCAAATGCCAACCATAATAATGATCTATACCCGTTCTGAAGATCCATGAAGTTGTAAGTGCGAAAAACAATAATTAAACAATCGATCCTTCAAGATATATTATACTTATATCACTGTGATTATAAAGAATTGTAGATCAGGGTGTAACCAAAGTTATCCGAATAGCGAATAGTCATCTTTAAAAAATGGCTTAGCCAAAGACAAAAATCATGTGTTTTAGTCTTTCTATATAAATACTACTAGAAACGCCCTTTATCTTTTTAACGATAAATTTTTCTTACCGTTACGTACTGTACGTGCGTCGTACTATGTAATAAGATAATTGGCAATGCTTATTTATTACAGAAATTTTTAGGGTTCTATGACCCGGACGTTAAAATTTTTTTGTTATACGTTTAGTGTTGGCAATGGAACGTAAATATATTTTTTTTAATAAAAAAAAATCCCAACAGAGCAATGAAGCAATGAAGAAAGTGAAATTTCAAAAACTATCAACCTTTGGTTTATAATATTTGGGTGTAATTTTTTAAGATTGCCTTATGCAAGTAACTCCCGATATAAGAAACCTTCAGAAACTTTCGATATTAGAAAGATTTTAATAAAAAGCTCTTGATATAAGAAAATCTAGATAAGAAAGGTTTTGACTGGACCCTGCAACTTTCTTATATTACAGTATTAAGACTCACTTGTATTTTGAAAACCTAAAAATTATTTATGTTGATTATTTTAATTTTATAATATACTATATATATATATATATATATACATACATATATATATCAGTGTTTAAAATTGGCATGCACAAGATGCACATGTGCACGAGTTTTTTATGAATTTT